TTTATGGACTGTTGTTAAAAGAAGGTTAGAGTGGTAAACATGGCACTGTCTAAACGTTTATGAGACATGTTGTTGCAATCAAATTCAAAATGTGCTAATGCATCTCTTAAATAAATGTATTACCCCAGTTCAAACATTTGACATATTAACCCCTTAACTCATAATGTAACATACTTGATACATCTGTTTTTGTGACCTCTATATCTTGAGTGTGATAGTTCTATGAGAGAGGCGTTTGTTGTATAAGTGGTTGTTGTATTTATGTATTGTAGTTGTCCCAGAAGCTTGAATATTGGATGAACCTGTGAGGCCAGCTTGTTTTACTATTTTGTAGGTTTCTACCAACACTACTGCTAATATTTCAGTCACCCCTTGCTTTGACTAATTCTTTAGATCTAGTAAAACAAAATGAAATCTATAAGATTACTATTTACTTATAAATACTCAAATCTTATCCAAATCTCGTCTTACTGTGATGCTTTTTGTATACTTTGAACTGCATACATTAAACTGTTGTAGCTATTTCACACAATAAAGCAAATGATACATATGATCCTATATTTATTAACTACTATACTACTAACTAATATACAACAGCAGGATCCATGATATTGTGAAAGTTCATTTACACATAAGGAGCAACAGACATCTTTCTGGCCATGGCCTCCGTCTTCCTTGGTTTTTCGAGAAAAGGCTTCTGTAAAAACTCCCATATTGCAGTGAATGTAGTAGTTACATTTCTTTCTTTCATGACAATCAGAGGCATACCCACATAGCAGACAGGTCTGGCCCGGATCTGGTGTCAAACTGGCACTGCTGGCTGACTTTCAACCCCCATGATACTGTGTAGTTGTGTGTGTGTGTGTGTGTGTTGGTGTGTGTGTGTGAGTGTGTGTGTGGGTGTGTGTGTGTGTGTGCGCGTGTGTGCGCGTGTGTGTGACACATAGCAGACAGGTCTGGCTCGGATGTGATGGCCAGCACTGCTGGCTGACTTCTGGCACGGTAAATGGTATATCATCCAGATATGGGCCAGGCCTGGTAGAATGGCACTGTTTATATGATGGCATGCCACATCTGGCCCGATTGTGGTTTGGTTTATGTGGCCCAGGCTCATAGAAAACCGGTCTCCCCAGATCCGGCATCAAGCTGGCACTTCTGACTGACTGGTGTCATGGCAGGGTGTATGTCAACCAGATGTGGGCCAGGTCTGGCAATGACACTATTTAATATGTTCCCATTTTCCTATTTTAGTTAGAAAACCCAAATGCCATGTTGCAATACTATAGTATACTATATTAGCCAATGTTTAAAATGCAGGTTTGACAGGTTTGTGAGTGTACACTTTATCCAAACCCTAGTGAGGGTTTACTCATGTTTACCACCGAGTGACTGTAGCTCAGGAGGTCACCTACTGATCAGAAGGTTAGTGGTTCAATCCTTGGCTCCTCCAGTCTGCATGTCAGGAGTGTGAACGCATATGAATGTAGTTAGGAAGCAGTCAGCTTAAAGAAAGTGTGTGATTGGATGAATGTGCCATGTTGTAAAGAGCACTTTGAGTAATCTGGGAGAGTAGAAAAGTGATATGTAAGAATCAGTCCATTCACCGTCTGAACAGAGTTTCGTCATGTTACTTTTGCACTATTATGTTTATTTATTTTATTTATTTATTTATTTAAGTATTTATTGTCATTGTCAGAGAACAATGAAATTGCGTTTGGGGCTTCCGTACAACCCGTAAATAAAATAATGAAGAAAATAATAAATACCCCTTAAAACCCAAGTGTAAATATTTAACCCAGTGTGACTCCAGTGCAATAAGACAATCCTTAGCAACAACATGAGAACATGACAAGTAATGTTCATAAGAAATTCAGACAAAGACCTGAGAAACATGACAAAGTACAACAATGCAACCCATTCAATATTATTGTACTGTGAGATATGATATCAGATATGATAGTTATCTATTTAAGAAAGAGGGGGGGGCAGGAGGGGGAAGAGAATAAAGATATGATGCACCAATGCAGACCAGTTCATTGCTATTAAGAAGTTGGATATGGTTATTGTCCGTGAGAGGGGGGCAGAGAGTTCAGGAGCCTCACAGCCTGTGGATACAGGCTGTTGGCCAGTCTGGATGTTCTGGCCTGTATAGACCTGTACCTTCTCCCTGAGGGCAGCAGATGGAAAAGGTGGCGCGCAGGGTGATGTTGGTCCCGCAGGATACTGTGCACCCTCCTCAGACAGCGAGTGGGGAAGATATTACTGATCTCTGGCAGACTTGTTCCAATAATTCTGCCAGCTTCTTTCACCACCCGCTGGAGTGCTTGCTGATCGGCCTTGGTGCAGCTGGGGAACCACACTAGAAATCCATACGTCAGAACGCTGCTGATGGCACAGTTGTAGAAGTTCAACATCAGAGATCTGGGAATGTGTGCGCTCCGCAGTCTCCTCAGGTAGTAGAGGCGCTGTTGGGCCTTCCGTGCAACTGAGGTGATATGGTTGCCCCAGGACAGGTCCTCGGTCACAGTTACCCCCAAGAATTTAAAACTGCTCACCCTCTCCACCGCCTCACTGCCAATGAAGAGAGGCAGATGGTTGTTATGACCCTTCTTCCGGAAATCTACAATGATCTCCTTGGTCTTTTTGGTGTTTAAGACCAAGTTATTGTCGTGGCACCATGACTCTAGTTGTTGCACCTCTGTCCTGTAGTTTGTCTCATCGTTGTTGGATATAAGTCCGAGCACTGTAGTGTCATCGGCAAACTTAACAATGAGATTGGACGCGCAGGAGGAAATACAGTCATGGGTGAAGAGAGTGTATAGCAGAGGGCTCAGGACACACCCCTGAGGGGCACCGGTGTTGACCACAAGGGTGGAAGAGGTGTTCTTACCCACTCTGACACTCTGTCTACGGTTAGGCTGAAACCTCTGGCAAACCAGATCTGGGCCACCAAAGGGCCGTCATTCTATGTGGTATGTGGGCCATGTGTAAGCACATTGTGTCGGCCAGATCCGGGCCATACCACTTTTGCTATGTGGGATAAAGAGTAACGGTGGTGTCAACACTTTCCTGGCTTTTTTTAACCACGAGTAATATTTTATTATATAATATTAGAATGCTAAACACTAACAGTAACACTAGTTTCAATGTATATCAATCTTCCTGAGCACAGTTTCTCACTTAACACACAAGCTTTGTCAATTGTCTCTGTAGTTGTTTATAACTCTGTTGAGGTTCAGTGATATGTGATATTAAGTAGTAGAAAATTAGTGTAGCAATATTTGGTTTTGGTTGGGAAAGAAAGATGTGATGAATGGTTGCAGATACGCAAATATATGTCGTTCAGTTATTTTCAGTGTTAGTTCCGTTATGAACATATATGTAAATATAAGGTATAAAATGCTGGTGCTTAGAGACAGTTCAGCATCTCACAATGGACGGTTGAAGTATTCGCTAATATGAAAAGAAATAGGAAAGATATTCTTACAAAAGGTTTGCAACTTAGATTATTCTTTGTCTTTCTTTAATGAATCTAGTATTCATTTTAGTATCTTCTTTTTCAAGAGATACTAACATTCACCATGAAGCTGCTACTGTGTCTGCACTTCTCTGTGCAATGAGTGGTTCTAACCAGGCTGTGGTGAGTATTGCAGCATAATCTATCTATCTATCTATCTATCTATCTATCTATCTATCTATCTATCTATCTATCTATCTATCTATCTATCTATCTATCTATCTATCTATCTATCTATCTATCTATCTATCTATCTATGTTATAATTTGAACATGGAACTATAATTCCATGTATGCACAAATACATGCCTAAGAAATAAGAATTCCCCGCACTTTGTTAGTTAACCTACATATTTGTACACATACCTGCACCTGAACACTGTGAATCACTTAACAAATATTTCACTGTCTACTTGCATGACTTGTCAGTGATTGTTTATATCATGATTACAGTTTTTCTCAGTCGCTTTGGTGCGTTTCTCAGATCAGAATTGAAATTCTCATAACTATTATTTCAACCTCCACAACACTCAGTCATTTGTGCACATCATAGTAGCAATTTCTCCTCTCTCTGAACAAACTGCAAATGATTTTGGACATGAATCAGTTGCTTCCATACATTTCCCTGCTGCTTTCTGACATTTCCATTTGCTTATGTCATGTCAGTCAAAAGTAATCATACCTATGGATGCTGAATAGTCGTTCCCAATAAAACTAATAGTCATACATCCATTGCTTAAGTCATCACACACAAAATTGTTGAACTAGTTATCACATGCCAAATATTGGCCATCTGTCAAGCAAATCCTATACCTTTCTGTATCATTGTTCCTGGAAATGTCTCCGAAATTGAACAATTGATCTCAGGTGAATTACAGCTGTCACTCATGAGGAGGCTCTACCAAATGGGTGATTTTATGTTTACATGTATTCTACAGTGAACAAGTGACTGTAGCATATTTTTCTTTTGCACAATTCTGTAGGATTACAAACACTTCTACACAATGGAAATGTGAAACGTACGTATTCAGTGTCTCAGTTACTCCCAAGACTCCCATAACATCTACAGTGACTTTACTGCACATTTCAGATGGCTGTACAGGTAGGCCATAGTGCTGTCGTCAGCATTTTCAGGTGTCACCAATTGTTTTTGCAATGGGAAACACTGAAATTATAAACTGTCATAGTGGAAACATGACAATGCCATTTGACTATCTTGTTCATAAAGATGGTGTCAAGACTTTTCATTTTGATGGCACTGACAGTTTCATTGACATGGATACTTGCTTTTGAGGTATGGATAATCAATTCTGTGCATGTGACGTGCTTTTGCAGGCTATCCACTAGGTTTTGCAGTTTGCACTAATTGTTTTGGGAAATGCACTAACTGCTGTGCAAATGTTAATGGTGTTCTGAGGAACGCACCAAAGCGACTGAGAAAAACTGTAAAAAATACAAAATCTGTCAACCAGAGATACATGTACAACTATTCATTTGCTCCCAGCCAACAGTCACCTGGTCAAGAGGTCCAATGGTTGTCCTTATGGTTGGACTCGCCACGGTGATCGCTGCTTTTACTACGTTCCAACAACCATGAGTTGGGCTAGAGCTGAGGTGAGTTTCTTTTTCTTTTCTGATTAAACCACTTTTAACTGTTACTAATTACATTAAAATTTTCTGCTCTCTGTCACTCTCCACTGAAGAGAAACTGCTTGTCCATGGGGGCAAACCTTGCATCAGTGCGCAGCATCAGTGAGTACCAGATAATTCAGGGACTGACTGCCCATTATGGCTACCCCCAAACTTGGATTGGAGGAACTGATGCACCCCAGGTATTTTGTTTATTATTAGACAGTATTTGTTAGGTGTCTAATAAATTCAGTCAGAGCCACTGTAGTCAAAATTATTTTTAAATTTCCACCTGCAGTGATTTATATCTAGTGGTATGGCATGGCTATGAAGGTACCTGGTCTTTTCTGTACACATGTTGGAAGCCTAACTCAGGGGAAGGAGCTAGAAGTCAAAACACAACAAGCATAAATGATAACCTATACACTATGTCAAAAATATATGAACGGCAGACCTGGGGTTTAATTGGATTTAAATATGGGTTGTAGACAATAGTGAAACTACCAGTAGGCTAAAGGAGCTTAAAGAACATGCCCAGTGTGAGAATTTCCAGTTTTTACATAGAAGGTTGCGTGCTCAAAGTCAGATGATCTGCTAGAACTGTGGCTATGCTTAACATTTTGGCCGCCCTGAACTAATGTGTTCAATTTCTGTCTTCTAGGAGGGTATTTGGTTGTGGAGTGATGGCACCAGTTTTCACTATTCACACTGGTGCCCAGGAGAGCCCAATAATGATCGCAATCAGCACTGTATTCAGATGAATTATGGAGGTAATTTAGAAAACAATAATTAACATGATTGCTTAATGTGTTTGAAAGGTTTACGTGATCTAAGATAGAAGCCATAAAGGCTAATTAACTAGAGTTTAGGTTTTTGACTTTTTTAACATTTTACTGACTTCTACTTGTGAACCTTTCAGGTTCCAAGTGCTGGGATGATCTGTGGTGTGATGCTCAGTTGCCATCTGTCTGCGCCAAGAAAGTCTAATGTTTCTTGGACTGACACTGATGTATGATGGTGTTTGTGTTTCGCTAGCTCTTACTTTATTTTATTTTGCAGCATTATATTTTTCCTCTCTATAGCACCCAAAGAAAATGAACAATCAACACAAGTTGGGCTGTCATTAAGGCCATGTGACTTTAGTGGGAGCAGACTTGTTACCAAAGGATTGATTTTACATTTTTCTTCTGCAAAGAAAACTGTTCTCTTCTTTCTTTAACATTAAAGCGTCAAGCAAGCATATCTCTGTGTTATGTCTTTTGTTTTGAGGTGTATATACATATTTACCAGATACATATATTAATATTTGTCTACTCTTTTATACATGTGTTAGTTCAATTACCAAATTTTTAAAAACTCATCACACATTCAGCAAACCTAGGGAAAAAAGTGCTAAGATTTGTTATACAAGTTTGCATTACCCATGTATCCTGCAAGCCCATAGATTTATATATGTGTCTCCATAAGTTGATTCTGTTCATCTGGACGTTGCTGTACTTACCTGGATGATTGAGCATGCATCAAGACGTTTATATATGTGCTGTCAGATTAAGTGGGCATGTGCTGACAATTTCATCTATTTTTACTATGCGATTTCCTGTCAACAATATTCCTACTACAGCAGTCCTATCTATTTGTGAGCCTTTCTATATAGCTAAAAATGAAAAGAAATTTGTATACACAGTTCAATAAAGAGCATTACAATACAAAGAATTGTATCTGTAGCTTACTCTGTGTGCGTGTGCCCATCTCTGAGAGCACAGAAATCATAAATTGAAAACCCAATATCCATCATAGTGAGGATAATAAAAGACGACAAAACTCTGACAATTTTAGGCAAACTTTGGAGTGTAAATAACAGTATTTAGAGGGGCAAAGAGAGGAGATATCAAGTGTACCCGGGGGCACCTGAGTGGAGTCAACACCAGAAAACTGGAAGAAAGTAGACCAACACCTATACCACCACAGCACTGTTGGAGGCAAGTTACAGGGAGGAGTGCCCAGAGAGGGCAACTCAGTTAAATACACAAAACACTTCTGTGTTAAAACATTTAATCAGGCTAAAATACAATTTAACAAGCCTAAACAAGACAACAACAATGGAGACCTAGAGTATATTAAAAAGCAGGAAAAAAACTCCTGGGTCCACTCTACTAAATTGCAGACCCCATACTCAGCCTGTTCTCACTCCCGAGGCGTAATATAGTGACAATTTATCAAGTCCTGAGGAACGTGAAAGATGACCTTCTGCGTTCTTATGCTACACGCTGGGTTATGGATGAAATCCAGCAGAATGACACTCTGCTGTAATAGACGTTCCAGCCATGTATTCCAGCTCGAACCCTAAACTTATCCCTAACGCTAACCAGTGCTTTAATGACGTTAGATAGTGTTTTCCAAAGTGATCTAAGTAAAATGAATGTACATGTGTAGATTAATTCCAAACACTTCTCATGTTTAACCCAGGCAAGGAGTGACTGACTGACTTCAGGCCAATCTTTTTTTTCTTTTTTTTTTTTTGCCTGTCCCGTTTGGCTCTTTTGCCATCAGAATTATTGTCTAAAGGCAAAGAAAGATGCCCAACGGATTTACTTTACCAAATTGACCATCCCAGCCTTGCCGTAATGGTCCTATTTGATTCACCTTTTATTGTTTATTTTATTTTATTTTCACTTACTAAATACGAGGACAGACATGACTGGGGATAAGAAAGAGGGGAGAAAAACAGCGGAGAAGAGGGATGGTGATAAAGGGCAAAAAACAAAAACCAACAAAATAAGCAGACAAAAAATACATATATCAATCACCTGGATCACCTGTTGAGAAAGAAAAAAGAGAAAACAAGCAAAAAAAAGAGAGCAATATAATAAACAACATCATCATGATAATCTATGTGAATATAACCTCCAAACCATGGAGGGCCTGAGATGTCCCCAGAGAGGTGGCGTCTGATACCCGACCTGACATAAAGACACAGACATACAGGCACACACAGATGCAAACATCCATTCCCACCCTCATGCTCTCATATGCAAATACTCAGCACTCATGTGAGAAGGCTCCAAACCTCACTCTGCCACTGTGGGATAAAATTGAGGCACAGGCAGCCAGAGGGGGGCAGAGGGGGGGATGCCTGACTTTGACTATAGTATATACAGTAAGGTATAAACGAGAAGGTATAAAATGTCACTGTATGTGTATTTGTGTGAATGTGTATATCCATCCATCCATCCATTCGCTTCCGCTTATCCTTTTCAGGGGCGCTGGAGCCTATCCCAGCTGTCTGTAGGGCGAGAGGCGGGGTACACCCTGGACAGGTCACCAGTCTGTCGCAGGGCTAACACACAGGGACAGACAACCATTCACACTCACATTCATTCACACCTAATGGCAATTTGGATTATCCAATTAACCTATCCCCACAAACTGCATGTCTTTGGACGGTGGCAAGAAGCCAAGGCAGAAGAATGTGTATAGATTTTTTAAAATTTTCTTCATGATATAACATTGTTCAGACATGCCCTGTAAGGACAAAATCATTTCTGTGGGAATTTCCATTCAGATTATGTCCAGTTTATGTCTGCATAAATTTAAAGCATGAAAGGCACAAAAATAAAATACAGATTCCAGCAATGACACTAGGAAAATATCTCCAGGAAACTCCCTCTTCCAGTCAGCAGCATTATCATGTGTGTTAGTTTAGTTTCTCAAGTTCCACCAGGCTAAAACGAGAGGCTTGTTTTGAAAGATCTCTGGCTTTATTAATATTAAGTGTACCAAGCTTAACATTGCTCATATTTGAAGAACAGCTAATAAGAAGAAGAGATAAAAGTAACAGTGACAGAAATAAGGAGACGACCCAAAAAGCAGACTTACAGAGGCAAACAAACTCAGGAAGCAGCTTCCTGAGTTTGCCAAATAACAAATACTGCCAAATAACAGATGTGCTGAAACTAACTAAAATGAGAATACACAATAAACTAAATGGTTCGGTAGGCAGGTAATTAGGCAGAACACACAATGAGAGATGAGGGAGGACGCAAACAATAAACAAAATGGAAAGAGGACCAGGAGAGAAACACAGCTCATATTCGACAGAAAAGAAAGGGGAGAAGCAAAACAGAACATGACGCACACTGACAGGAGACTACCAAAGTAAAACAGGAAGAAATGGCAACATACACACTGAGACGGAGACAGATACACAGAGGCATGACTGCATACTTATGTTAGGGTACCTGGGTCGCTGACTCAGTGTTTTGTGTCTTTTGGTTTTGTCTTTGAGTTTTGTTTTTCATCATGTTCTCTGTGTATTTTGTATTTCCTTGGTTAGTTCACTTCTGCTCATGAGTTTATTCAGTATTTCTAGTTGTGATCTTAGTTTGGAGAAGAGACATAGGGGCAAACAAACAGGACACAT